TCATAATAGTCTGTAGATAGTAGCAACTGTTGCCTTTACAATAAATATACTCTGCAGTACTGTTATCAGGCTAAATAAAGTAGTTTTTACAAACAGTACTGTTCATAATAGTCTGTAGATAGTAGCAACTGTTGCCTTTACAATAAATATACTCTGCAGTGCTGTTATCAGGCTAAAGAAAGTAGTTTTTACAAACAGTACTGTTCATAATAGTCTGTAGATAGTAGCAACTGTTGCCTTTACAATAAATATACTCTGCAGTACTGTTATCAGGCTAAATAAAGTAGTTTTTACAAACAGTACTGTTCATAATAGTCTGTAGATAGTAGCAACTGTTGCCTTTTACAATAAATATACTCTGCAGTACTGTTATCAGGCTAAAGAAAGTAATTTGTACAAACAGTACTGTTCACAACAGTCTATAGATTATAGTACTTTCTGTAGGTTAAAGTGTGTACAGGAAACTTACCCTAGTCTAGGTATTGTTATAGTCTATAGACATTTTTTTTTATAACTACAACACACAAAAATATTGTCGAGAATACATTAGAAACCGTCTATTAATATTTACACATATGTATTCCATTATACCACACTTGCACATTCTTTAATATTAAGCTCTAGTCAGTGGAATATATGTCAACAGTATAGAATATTTCTAACAGCTTATAGAACAGAACAACATTTATATATTGTTGGATCAAGTCTGCATGATAGCTTTTTTTAAAGGTATCTTGATACACTGACTTTTATAAGAGCACAAAAAAAAACAACAACTTAATTCAATGATTCATTATTTTAAACAACTTAAGACAGGGTGGTGTTAAATACATCTACAGAAGACATTGTTGAGATGTTCCACTGTAAAGGATAATAAGAAGTTACATTCATTTCTGACAGAACTCCAGAAGTTGTGAGGTTGTCAGAAGAAAGTACTGGCATTGGCGACACGGTCATCATACAGGGTTTCATGAGTGGTGGGCCAAGCATATAGTCGATCAAGTAGGCTACACCTGATCCTGTTGTCAGACCCAAACTGTAGGAAAGTGTCATGATATTTCCTAAAATATAAATAGATGAATAACAATATATGTGTCCTATAAATGTGAAATCTAAAAATAGGTATTTTTTACACAGTTCTTTTTTTATAAAGCTTTAGTAATATATGTTCAGAAAATATGTAAACTGTGTTTCTTTCTGTAGAAATGGCTCATAATGCAGCTCATACTAATAAGATCTAACTTCTGTTTGTCAAGCCTGAGCTGACCAATATAACTAAAATAGATTTTTAAAGAAATGCAGCTGATATCAGGATCCTAGCTAAATCCTGTTGTAGATTCTGATGAGCTTACTTTGAGGTGGTCATAGTAGTTGAACTTAAACGTGAATTAACATAAACATAATACATGAGTTTGGGAGTAAACCAGAATATTTCATTTTTTCAAACTGATTTGTTCATTAATATAAACAAAATTAAGGTAATACTTTGTTGCACCCTGTGTCTATGGTAAGTTTAGAAAAACTTAGTTTGAAGTCTGTATCAGTGCAAACTTTGTCAAACTGCTGGTACTTCTAAAATTTCCACTTCACCTTCATCAAATGTGATAACTGTGCTTGAAATTAATGGTAGCAAATTTTTATTTAAAAAAACAACCCCTCCAGTGCTGATATGAAACTTATGAACTATGTGTAACAGTAAAAACAGTTTTTAAAGCAATCTGTTTGTTCAACATCTATATTTACACATATATGTTTAAAGGAATATTCAGAGACAACAAATATTGGAAATGATGCTTTACCAGAAAGCTCTTGGGTGGGCAGAAGAAACCAACATCAATATGAAAACACGATAAACCACTGTAAAACATTATTCACATTATAGTTACTTTTGCAATTCCAGTTACAAGACTTGAAGGATGGCACTGCTAAATGCAATATCTGTGGAGAAATAAAGTAAGATCCTGGTGATTGCAGCCCTGTAATCAAGAAAAACCAAATCAACAATTTCTGCAAAAGGAACATCACTTACTGTGGAATATTGATATTGATAAAGCCTGGAAAGTATACAGTCAAGCCCAGATTGAGTTCCTGCAAATAAGGCATGACCCAGCCCTGGCAGAGAGAAAACAGGGAATAAAGCCTGTGCTTTCTACAGCCAATCAGCTTCCAAAACACATGACATCAAATGGAATGAACTATGCTGCAAGGTCATTCTCACAAGTGCTTCATTCTGGCACCTCCTCAAGAACTTAATGTGCAGATACTTGAACCAATCCGACCATGGTAGAGACCCAGACTATAGTAATCCATGTCTCAGCAACAACTGCAGACAGATACGGAAGCCATATTTAGCTTGGATGAGATATGCAGAGCCATAAATATACATCTAAAGATAAAGCTCCAGATCCAGATGGTGTAAGAATCTCCACTTTTATGAAGCTTATAGAAACCAGTCTGTTAAGGTGAGTGTTGGAGTGTCAAATGTGCAACAGGTGGAATCCCCAAAATATGTTCTGGTGCCTTTTTTTATCAAATCCTTACCCAAACCTATGAAGGATTACTCTTGTCTTGAAGGCTATTTAATCATTGTCCTAATCAAATATTGTTGGCAAGATCCCAGAGAAGGCTTGCTTATCTGATTGAACCACTACTATTGTCATCATTCTGTGGCTATTGCAATAGAAGAGATATCTGAATCATTGATGCTGACATTACAGCTGGTACATGGGAAAGCTTTGAAGCTCATCAGAATACCTTGGCAGTAGTTTCAGATCTGGAAAGTGCCTATAATAGAGTCCAGCTGACAATTATTGCTTACAAAATTCTTATAACAAGCATCAGTGTAATATTTGCAAGATGGGTTGTAGCTGCACTAACTACCAGAAGATGCATCATGAATCATGGAAGTGGCATTCAGACTCAATCATCATCAACACTGGTATGCCTGAAGGGTCACCATTCCTCATTAATATCTACATCATGGATCTAACCTGCCTTGACAATACAACCATATGCTGTGTGTGTTAACCTTTGCTGATGACATTCTGGTACATAGCAAAGCTGAAATGGAAACCAAGATGCAACCTTCCCTTAGCAGTGTAAGCAAATGACACAAGAATGGTCATCACTTCTGCCAAAGTCACAGCCATTCTCTGCACACTCAACAACAGATATGCTGATAAGGACAAAATCACCATCCTTTGTGGGCACTGTTACCCCTATGGAAGAAACAATAAAGCACCTGGGAGTACCCTTGAACAGACAGCTTCAGTAGCCACATTAACACCATGATAATAAGAGTTAGTAAACGCATCAATGCACTGAATGTTGCAGCAGGAAATATATCTGAAGTCACCTACTTATGTTTTACCAGTCTTATCCATTCAATTCTGGAGTATGCACTACCGATGATCGGTATGAGTGCTGCACAGCTAGATAAGATTGAAAAGATACAAACACCTGTTTAACACTGGTCATGGGATGTACTTCAGCCACCTTCATCAAAGCCCTATTATAATTCACAAGCCTCATCAACATCACAGAGCACCAGCAGCATGAACAGGCAACATTCATTATGAGGGTATTGCAGTATAAAAGGCATACATTCTATAATCGAGCCAATGACCTTTTAAATTAGAATATTCCATCTCCACAATGACCCCACATATAACAACTGAGTAGGGGATTGCCCAAAAGTCATCTCAGGAGACGGTCATATGCTATGTGTTACCACTGAGATAAGTCATCACTACCAAATCCCAGATTTCCCATGTGGAATAAACTTGGTGCCACTGGTAACTGGGGACATTAGCCAGCGACAGAAAGTGTACAGATTAGGCAGAGTGTGAAGTACAAAAAGACTTTCTGCACCTATTTAAAAACCGTTGTGGACAAATGTTTCCAACAAAGAATTTGCAACTAAAATTCAGAATGCTGGTTCCCAAATGAGTGGCATAAAGCAAAGCAACTGTATGTGACCCCCCCCCCCCCAAATAAACATTGGCGTAAAACGTGAGGTGTCTCACGAACTTGAGTTCAGGCCCAAGAACGGGTCATGTTTGTGAGAGGATAATAATGTGATAATTTGGATTGTTAAAAAGTATTTCACTAGCAAGGTCTAATGAGTTAGCCCTAGTAGGACACTCGACTAGTACGCAAGAAGTCCAAGGTTCGATATTGGGCCGAGGAAGTTACTTTAAAGCCACAACTTTAATCGGTTTATCATCAACTGCACGCCCACCTTCTGTAATTTCAACATTTATATCACACGTACATAAAAGGATTTGAAAACTTTTTTAGAATTAAAAAGCTTAAATTTCACCTGTTAACTCCTTCTGATCATCCGGGACCATTTTTGGTGCTAAAATCATGGGTACAGATCCAAATACACCATTGGACAATCCCAACATTAGTGACAAAATCATTGGCCATCCTTCTCCAGGGATGAGAGGACTTCCACGAGGGGCCGCACACATGGCCATGTTCGGAACGAGAATTATTCTTGAGGCCGATAGCAAAAGCAACTTCCCCTTTGTCCACTCATACGGAACAGAAGCCAAAATCTATGAATGGAAAAAGCGGAAGGAAGTCGTACTATACTATTAAACATATACGAAGTAAAATACTTGAAAGTAACAAAGATTTCCTTTTGTACGTTACTATCTTATGAATCGTCATTGAATTATATTATTAACCTCTAGGTTTCTTTTTGGCTTGATATTTGTTTGTAGTTTTAACTGTATCTGTAAATGCAAAATTAAGTTTCTTCTTAGTTAATAACAAGGCGTGTAAGACAGGATATAATAAAACCCGGGACCGGAATGGAATGACATTGTAAAATCCGGAACAGCATGGAACACTGTTTTATCACACAATAAAAGCATCATTTGAACATGAACTAAACTAAAAATAATACATAGTAAAACAGAAAATCAAATTACAAATGCCTTTAAATATGGAACAGCAGTCAACAACATCATATTGTTACGTCTCTGTTCGTTTGTTAATCTACCGTAGAAATTCTTCCCGAGAAACTTCAGCTATACAAGTCCTTTCTTAAATAAAACTAGTTTATTCTTTCTCAATACAACTTTGTTCTAGAAACTCATGACGTGTTACCAGCGTCACGTGACTTCCGCTGTCGTAACAATATTTTTTTTACATGTTTAAATATACTTATGACCTCAGACTTCGGGAATATGCGGTTATAAACTTATTTGAATAATAACAGTGTTAGTTTGGGAATGTATAGCTATATTTGAGTTAAAAGACTTAGGGAAGGACTATACATCGTTAGTGAAATATAATAGGTAAATATTGATCAACGCAGATGAATATGTGACCAGTATTACTTGACTAAACTTTAAAAATTCGTTAGGACACGTAAGAGGACAATAAGTTTTGTTAAAGTAAAATAACGAGAGTTTGGTTTATTTGTTGTTAAGCACAAAGCTTCACAATGGACTATCTGTACTGTGCCTACCATGGTTATAAAAACCTGACTTTTACTTTTACCATCGTAAGCCTACAGACTTACCGCTTATAATTCGGTAAAAAATCTGACTGAATAGACTATTACATAATTAGCTTAATCAACTATTCAATCAATGTCTATAAATAACTTTGAAGGAAGATTTATAAAATTTTATATACTACAATTTTCGTCCCTCCATACGTAGCAGACTTAGAAAGCAAAAATCTGGGGTTCGATACCCCGGGGTGGACAGAGCGCTCTATGTAGCTTTGCTCTAAGAACTAATATTTTCCACAGATGGTGTTTATTTGTCCGTAAATGTTTATTTAAACGTATCTCCTAAACTAAATTTCAGCAAGTTTAACAAGATATGGTCTACCATGACTTAGGAAAGATAAAATAAATATGGGGTTCCACAATTGTGAAACCTCCTCAACGGTTTCTGAAAAAGAACAGATTTCCAGAGTGAAAAACTGGTACTTTTTTCATACGAAGTGTTACGACAGCAAAAGTCACGTGACGCTCGTAACACGTGATGAGATTCTAGAAAGATCGGGGAACCTCACGAACGTCCCAGCGTTTGCTAGACGCCCTCTATTTTAGTATATAAGCCGGCAGTTAAATTGATAACGGGATAAAAGGAGTCAAGCCGTGAGTAAAGTTTGTAAATCGTTGTGAATTATAGCGTGTGTTTAAGTTAAAGTGACTGTGGAAATTCTGTGTATTAGAACCATGACGTTCCTGGCAACTCTAGTCTTTTCTAGGCGCCTTCTATTTTAGTATATAAGCCTGGCAAATAAAGGGGAGATATAATTGCAGATAGACAGACATAGAGACAGATAATTAAGTCAAGCGTGCGGTAGTGACTGTAAGTAAAGTGCGTGAATCTTTGTGAATTATAGCATATGCTT